ACTACTACTACTACTAGTACTAGCGGCGGCGGTGGTGCTCGTGGTAGTATAAATTTGAACTTACTGCTTTGGTGATTGTGCTGTTGTTGCTGTTGTGGTTGGCTCTCTATCTCTCTCGCGCTCCCTCTCTCTGTCTCGCTCTCGTGCGTGCACTTACACCCGTCTCTGCATCCCCGAAGGCGCGAAAGCCACAAGCAATCCGCCTGTGAAAACAACCCGAAGAAATACTGCCGGCAAAGCGGAGGAACCTTCTTCAACGCCCCGTTTTTGGACAGCTGAAGGTTCTTCATCGTATTCTTCGTGGCCTCGTTGCACACTCACAAACGACACCGCCGAAACCCTCTAGGCCTCATGCAGGCCCCAAACCTTCAAACCGACATCCTAAACCTGCCAGACCTAAATTAAAGGAAACTACAGGTGNNGTTTAGGGTATTTAGGGCTTCTAGAAGGCTTCTATAAGGTATATAGACCTTCTATATCGCTCCTATCATGGTAACTACTCACCTGAAATATGTCCTAGACTAAAACTCAACACGCCTTAACTCGACACCCGACATCCCTAAACCCCAACACCACCACCCTTAAAGCAGGCCTAAGCTCGCCAGGTGCGCATGAAGGCTCTAAACACCAACAAGCCTTCAAAGGATAGTCGAAGCACCCCAAACCCTATAACAGCTCAAAATCCTAAACTCCCGAAAAAGCGTCAACCATACAACCTCAAAGCGCGGAACCCTAAAACTGAAATCCTGCCTAGAAGCCCAGAAGCCTAGAGCCACGAACCCTAAACCCCCTAAGCCCTGAACCCTATACACAGGCCCGGATCCCGATAAGCCAACCCTAAACCAAAAAAACTCACGTAAAATCTATATAAGCCCTGAAGGCCCTGAAGCCTAAACCCTAAAGCCTTGAACCCTAGACCCTAGCAGCCAAATACCCTAAACCCCAAACCCAAGAGGCTCTAAACCTTAAAGCCTAAACCCTAGACCCTACAAGCCCTACAAACCCTACAAACCCTACAAGCCCTACAAGCCCTAAACCCTAAACCCTAAAACCCTAAACCCTGAACCCCTAAACCCTAAACTTCGGCCATGTCTCCGACTTCCGGTCTGGTGAGGATTTCGAGGTCCTTGAGGCCTTCTGGAGCGGATTTAGGAAATTCAGTGGATCGGGTTTAGGGCTTGGGGCTTATATAGGGGTTTAGGGATTTAGGAATTCAGGGGTTCGGGTTTAGGGCTTAGGGGTTTGAGGGGTTTAGGGTTTAGGGCTTAGGGGGCTTTAGGGTTTGGGGGGTTAGGGTTTAGGGTTTAGGGTTTAGGGCTTAGGTAGGGGTTTAAGGGTTTAGGGCTCAGGGGTTTAGAGCTTATGGGGGGGTCATGATATATATCCTGCATTTAAGGACCCTAAACTGTGGGAGTTATGGTATATTCCTGATTATGGGTGATGCAGGATATTTATCATCAGCCGTAAGATACCACCCGAAACCCTGCATCCCTAAGCAGCGACCAGTCGGAGGATGCTCCGGCGAGGCCTTCTGCGGTCATCTGTGACTCTGACTGCACCTATAGTCTCCATTGTAGTTCCTTTTTTTGGTTTAACCAATTCTATATTAAGGATCCTAAAAGGTATCCCCAAAAAGGAACTACAATGGAGACTATAGGTAACCCCATAAACCATAAATCTCGAATCCTGTAACCTTAAAACAGAGACAGCTATGGATCAGAAGCCCTGAACCTCAAAATCAAAAGACCTAAAGCCCTAAACCCAAAACCCTACAAAGGAATCCCAAGTGCCTTGCAGGCATCCACAGAAGCATGTTTTCGAATTACCACAAAAGCTCCTGGTGGAACCCGGAGCCTGGCACCACAACCGTTTAATCCAACGAGTGCATGTAAGCCTTACCCAGAGGCTCCATAGTAGTTCCTTTTTGGGATTACCTTATAGGATCCCAAATATGAACCACAAAAAGGAACTACTATGGAGTCTATGGGTACCCCAGATGATGAACAAGACAAGCCATAACAAACCGAGAGCGTATGATCAGACCTAAACCATAAAATCGTGCATGGTGGTTACCCATAGGCTCCATAGTAGTTCCTTTTTGTGGTTCATAGTTGGGATCCGATGGGTAATCCCAAAAAGGAACTACAATGGAGGCTATGGGTAAGGTGGCCAATAAAAGGACATAGGTCGGATCCAAACTGTCGGACCTGCTCTGAGCTTCAGGTCATTTACCAAGTTCCTGCGCTTTATGCAACTGCGTAACACACCCTCTGACCACCAGTACAATAAGACTTTCCTGGTGGCCTCAGAAATCTTCGCAAGTCCAAGGGCTCCAACGGTGGGATGAAGGTAAGTAGGATGAGCCCGTTTGTAGAACCTTAGCCCAGTCCATTCCTCTCTTCATCCCGCTGCCCAGGTCCTTGTACAAAGAGCCCTCTGAAGTACCAAAAAATACATCCAGCCTCCTGACCAGCCTTTGCATCTGCATTCCTCGGAGACACGCCCACCAGGCTTATGAGGTTTGAACAGAGTTCAGGTTTTCCGGGGTTCTGGAGCTGTAAAGCGGGAAGATGGAGGGGGGTCCCATTCACAACATTGCAGTCAGCGCAAACCAGGCATGTGTCTAGTTATGAACAACTCAATCTTTTCTTTGTTATATTTCGCCAATATGGTTGACATGGTTCAGTTCGCCTTTTCTGCACTGAATACTCCGACAAGCGCAATAGGAGTGCAAGCGGATCACATGAACTGGCAAGCGGATCACATGAACTGTTGGGCATTGGTTTTGGGCATTAGTTTAGGAATTTTGATGGGCTTCAGGATTTACCCGGTTAGGGTTTCGCATGTGCGGACTCGGGTTGCTTTGAAGGCTTGGGGAAGTTCGCAACACTTCCACCCACCAGCTACAAGTCCTGAACATCGAGTTTTCGCCGGGTTGCGGCGGGTCGAGGATATCGTCTGCCTCATCGACAAGCACCTCGATTTGGGGATCTTCGATATCTGACTCTGCTGGAAGGAAGGTGTCCTCGACACTGCATAGCCCGCTTAGGGCTTCTGGCTTCGATGGTTAGGGGCTTCATGGATAGTTCTCTAAATTAGGGTGCCTTTTGGGGGTCCTTTTTTACGGTAGGTTGCTTTTGGGGGTCCTTTTTATACGGGTGCCGCACTATTATGGGGACCTAAAAGGGGACCCTAAGTTGGAGAACTACCCTCATGCATAACCACGGTTCTAACATCTTGACAAAGGGGAACAATGTCTGGGTGTGGACGAGAAGGCAACGAGTGTCAAAGGCATCACCTACCTGTTTCTGAAAGCTGGTCGTGCCTAGTTGTGGTCATCTCGTTTGCTGCGCAACGCAGCTCTGTGGGTGGAGAACCAGACATACTGACGACTAAACCCTCAATAACTCGACCCAAAGCTGCAAGAAACCTACAGACTGCAACTCAACCATCCCGAGACCTCCGTTTGTCCTAAGCCCTGAAGCCGCAACCCTAAACTTGAAACCTTGAAGGCATAACTGCTGCCCCCAACCCATGTCACCGGTATGCGGAGGAATCAAAGCAGGATCCCCCAAAAAACATGTGGTATCAAACACTCTATTCCCAAACAGCTTTGGTTTCGGAGATCCCTTTAAAGGAAGCCATGCGCAACAGCGCAGTTGAAACGCTCAGCAACATGTCCTGACTTAGCGCGCTCCCCCCTTCCCAACCTGCGGAGATAGGTCGCCATCCGCCTGTTCAAGACGGTATTGGATCACCGGCAGTGAATAGCTCCACTCCTCACGCGAGGAACTAGGATTCAGGGTGAATGCTCTTGGATTTTGGGTTGAGGGCTTTGGGTTTTTGGGTTCCAGGTTGAGGACAACACACTCCAGCAAAGTCTAACTTTTAACTGGAGCCCGGAGAAGGGTGTAGTAAACCCTAAACCCTAAACTCCGTCTAGTGTTGTGTCCTTTTCTCTTCGCTAACATCAGCAACCAGCGCCTTTCCGGGATAGCCCTATAGGTCTTGGGGCTTAGGGCTTTGGGTTTAGGGGAAGCCATACTTTCACTTACTTGTGAACCCGAAGGAAAATTCATCGGAAACATGTTCAGAGCAGCTTGATCCTACAAAATTGGAAAGAACCCAACCAACAAAAGGTACGACGGTCAAGGGTCCAGCCGGGACAGGACAGATAGAGGCCACTGTAACGACCACGGGTTGGGGATGTCTTATACTACGGCTGATGATATAAATCCTGATAATTCCCATAGTTTAGGGTCCTTACGGTAAACAGGATTGATATCATCAACAGTATGATTATGATTTTTGTTATTGCTGCTATTGGCAAGTCGGTCAAATCGGACTCTTAGCACTAATACTGGCACGATATTTTGATAATTAATCTGATACTGTAATTGTCAAAACCAGCGAGAAATCCGAATAGCAATTAATCGGCTTTTAGTTTAGAGTGGCAATTAATCGGCCTTTAGTTTAGAGTGACCTTCAAAACCGGGGCCGATACGTTATAGAAGTCCGAGTAATTCGTAATACTACTAGGTCTGCCTTAGGGTTCCGAGACAAACTGACGCCCTTGTGGTAACTCTCGCAAGAAGCCTCATTGAATCGTTAGTAGAACCCTTCAGAGGGGGCCTGCTCTTACAAAAATAGAGCACCCTAGACTACTGTTGATGGTATAAATCCTGCATTACCTTTATAATAAGGACCCTAAACTCTAAACGATGGAAGGGTTTTCTGTACGGGGGCCTATCGGAGTTTCTCGAAGGGTTCGATGGGGTGTTTAGGGTGTAAGGCTGAGTGGCCGTTTTTTGTCGAAAACTCGGTATAACTTAAGATCCACCCCAGACAAATAGAAGCTGTCTACATGGAACCTCAGGCAAAGCACCTGGACATGCAAAAAACAGCTTGACACAAACCTGGCTTATGGATCCCAGCAATTTTTGAGGCTCCACCACCTACTTCTTAGCTATGCTAGGCCTGCACTCTGCACTCTTCTGAGCATACAGACATGCCGGCTCGAACTTCCGCTCGCCCAGCCCTAACCCCAAACTCTCCTGGACCCCGAACCCCTACAGCATAAACCTCGTAGACCACGAACCCCAAATCCGCAAACCCCGACGACCACAAATCTAGACCCTGCAGCCCGTACTCCCAGACACTGAAGACTAAACACCAGAGCACGCGGTGGTCCTTCTCAGGCACATCGGCCTTTTCAACTCGCTCAAGGAGTTGCAGTACTGCCCCCTGCGACTGTTGGTGCTGCTCCTGAGCATTCAGAAAACGAAACACTTTTGAACGGTTATTCACTTTGGAGTTGGGGCGCTTCGAGTGCAGCCGGGTTGACTGGCTCGTTGCAAATCAGCATGGAACGCATTGTAGAGTTAGTGCGCTGCGGAGGGCTCGGGACGACAGGTTGCTATGGTTGAGGAACCAATGACTGTGACCGCTGCCACCACAATGATCAGTAGCGGCCGCGACGGGTGGGGGTGGCGATGGTGGTGTTTCGTACTTGTTGCTATTGGTGCAGCATCATGTGATTGGCATTGGCTGTCTTTTGATGTCGTACCTTGCGGCGATGGCCGGCATTGCAGCCTTGGTGTTGGCCGTTGTAGTGCTGTAAGTCACTGTGGTCAGCATCGGTCAGCGTAGCGAGTGCTACCGGCCACGGACAATGATGACAATGCACCAACCCTAAACCGCAAACCTAAACCCTAAAGCCTGTAAGCTATAAGCCCTAAACCCTAAATCCTAAGCCCTAAACTCAACACCCATATCCTACATCTGCCTACGCCCTCGAAGCCCAAACCTCACACCAAGAATGCCAGACCTACCCAGGATAACAGCAGAAACTCACTTCATCCTAGACTCCCTAAGCCCTAAACCCCCAAAGCCCTGAACCCTACAGCCCATTACCCCTAAACCCCTAAAGCCCTACACCCTAAACCCCAACCACAGGCCCTAGACCGTCAGGGCTTCTCTCAAAGAGTCCCAGGCACTCTGAGTATCTCGATACTCTTGGACGAGGCCTCCTGCTGTTTTTGCACCTGCAGGGCTTAGGGCTTTCAATACAGGTTAAACACAAAAAACATGGTAATTAATGTAGGGTTCTAAATAATTACCTATACTATTTTGGGGGGTTCCCTATTCTAAATATAGTATAATGGGCCCCAAAACCCTCTTCTGATTAAGGCCCCTATATTACAACTTCGGTTCTGGGTTTCCGGTCCATCTCTTGGCAGGGACGTTTCGGTGACTGCCAGGAGAAAGGGCTGACCACTGTACCCCCAAACCCTAAACCCTAAACCTTAAACCCCTAAACCTGAACCCTAAACCCGAAACCTTAAACCCCTAAATCTGAGCCCTATAGTCCCTATGAGTCCTAAACCCTAAACCTGAACTCTAAACCTTAAACCTCAATGAAGACGATTAAGAAACACAACCAAATCTCCGGTTGAGGGCAAGTCCGGCGCAAACATCGAGGAAGCCCTTAGGCTACGCTTTAGTGCTTAGGTTTCAGGGTTTAGGTTTTAGCGCCTTTAGGGTTTAGGCTTCAAGCTTTCAGCAAAAGCTGCGGAGGCGTTGGCCGCGGCTGCACCCTTGCCGCTTTCGACTGCGCCAGCCAGATGTGGAGAGGCTCTTTGTCCTGCTGTTTGCTTGAGCGTCCTCTTGGCAGTCTTCTCGGCAGAGGCCATCTGACGAGCTGGTTTTCTATGGACAGCCATCGCGCTGTTCCTGATCGGACGCACGGCACAACCATACATGGTAGTCAGGCCCCTGTCTTTGTCAGGTTCATCCTTCACTTCCTGTACGGCCCCTTAACTAAATGGGTAGTTCTCTAAGTTAGGGTCCCTTTTAGGGTCTTTTGTTATAAGGGTGCCGTACTATATTGGGGTCCTAAACCAGGACCCTTATTTAGAGAACTACCCAAACATGAAAAGCCTGACTATTTCGATCCCTGAATGTATCGCGCAGCCTCGAACCCCCGAACCCTGTCTTGCGGCCTTCCAAACAACGAGGGAAGCCTCATACACAATGAAGAGACCCTGTTAACAACCGTCTAAGAGAGGGGCCTTAAAGTAGATTCGAGTCATACCTAAATTAGAATGTTGAACCTTCTCTAGGCTTGGCATCGTTAAGATCGACATAAAACTAGAACAGGGTTGCGGTGTGTAGACTAGTGTCTAGAGACCATAACTGTTTACGTTTACTAAATTTCTTACGGGCCTTGAGTGTTTTGATCTTTGTTCGGCAATAGCCCTCGCCAAGAGCCGGGTTGAAAAAGCATGGGGGCCTCCGATACGTCGTCAAGTACAAGTCCTTTTGTTCGAGATTCGGCTCCTACATCCCACATCTAAGTTCAAGCCCCGACCTGCAAAATGGGGGCCTTAACAATTAGAGTTGGGGCTGGGGAAGTATAGGTCGACCTTAACCGGATACTACTACTAATTATTCAGAAGCCGATGTTAGACACTGTGTGCATGCTCGATGACTCTACCTCTTTAGAAGACATGCACGGCTGCAGGTTTTGCGATTGCGGTATGAGGAACAAATAAATTCAGGGTGTGGGGCATGGAGCGTGCCTCAAATCCCCGATGCTGAAATTGTCCTGCTTGCCGTAAGCCCCCTCACGTGTCCATTATCGTGGGAAACCAGAAGGTTATAACCTTTGGGGTTATATAGGGATTAAGGTACCCCGAGAAGTTTGACGGTTACCTACTCTACTAAGACCCTGGATGCTGCCTGTCTCAAGACCTCCCAAAGGTTCAAGTCTTCTGCCATGGCTACTACACTGCACTGGGCAGGGCACTGCCCACCTGCTGCTGATCCAAAATGCAAAGGCGCCGGAGGGCATAAGACCGTGGAGGATTAGGAATCCCAAGCCCTTTAATGCAAGGGCCTTAATAGTAAGAATAGGGTCTTGGGGCGCATTATACTGTAACTATAATAAGGAGCCCCAAAATAGTATTGGTAATTATCAGGCCCGTACTTTAAAGGCTTACAACTCCAGGCAGTAACCCTCAAACCCCAACGCCAAGTCTACACCCCGTAGCCCAAAAGTGCTTCAGGGCTTTGGGTTGCAGCTTTGGCCAATGTAACTTATGTAAACGATATATTCGATACAGGCACATGGACCCTGAGCTTAGTTTGTGAGTCTGAGTTCATAAGCCCCCCCCCCAAAAAAAAAAACAAAATGCACACTTTCAGTCTTATAGGGGGTTATATTATCCCAAAAAGTTTAAAGTGCACCCATTCAAAACCCTAAACTTCCCTAAACCCTAAACCCTGAACCCAGCTACTAAGTGAGGGTAGCCCAGGATGCTTGTGCCAAGATCGGTTCGGAGCGAAGTTCTGGAACTTGTTCTGTTGCCAGCAAGCCCCCTAAGAAGGGTCCTGTAGTAGGAATGACTATTCTGGTTTGGGTTTAGGGTTTAGGGTTTAGGGTTTAATGAGAGTCCTGTAGTAGGAATAACTTTTCTGGTTTGGGTTTAGGGTTTAGGGTTTAGGGCTTAATGAGAGTCCTGTAGTAGGAATAACTTTTCTGGTTTGGGTAAGTATCCACCTTTGGGGCAAGAGCCCTAAACACCCCAAGCCCCCGCAGTCTAGGCTACACCGATGACCAAAAACCACGCCCTGGAGCCGACGTGATCCACCTCAACAATCAGTTCTGCAAGCAAAGACGTAGATACATCCTAAGAAGCCATTGAACCCTAAACCCCTAAACCCTAAGCCCTAAACAACAGCAGTCTCCCACAGAAGGCCCCTCAGCACCAAGGAACTGGTTTTTCCCAATGCTGACACTCATAACATACTGAAACCTCCAACACTCTAAACCCTGAAAAACTTAAACCCAAAAAGCCACCTCCTCCGAGCGAACATACAAGGAAGCCACAAGATGGAACCCTAACAATGCCAGCTCCAAACTGACAACCCAATCCGAGAGGAGCAGCCCGTATCCTAAAAACTCGAAACACCAAAACTCAAAGGTCCAGGACCCAAAGGAACCAGAAAACCCCGGTTTGGGGCTTGAAGCAACGGGTTTAGTACTTTTGCCTTCTACCTTGTGGTCTAACGTGCTTATAAGGTCTTAGGAGTAGGGGTCTTGGGCTTCCTTGCATTGAACTTCCAAGTGTACAAGTACTACCTAATACCTACATACCCTAAACCCTAAACCCAAAACCCAAAACCCTAAACCCTAATACCTAATACCCTAAACCCTAATACCCTAATACCCTAAACCCTAAACCCTAAACCCTAAACCCTAGCCATGAAGCTTCAGGCGTTATGCTTTTTTTGGGGGGTTAGGGGTTTTAGGGTTTAGGCTTTTAGGAATTAGGGTCTAGGGTTTAGGGTGGCGGCTCCTCACGGATTTCGGCTCAGCTTTGTCGGGCTCCGGATTTGTATCGAGTTCCGTCTAAACCTCCAACTCAGAGCCTATGCTCGGATTCCTAACTCCTCAAGCCTAAACCCCGAACCCCTGAACCGCTAAACCCCTAAACCCTAGGCCTTAAACCCTAAACCCTAAACCCTGAACCCCTAAACCCTAGGCCCTAAACCCCTGAACCCTAAACCCTGAACCCTAAGCCCCCGATGCCCCAAACCCTAACCCCAATTATGCGCACCCCTGCGAAAGGCCCGGACGCCGGCAAGCGGATGCCAGGAGCCAACGGGAGGGGATCGGTTTCGACTCCCACGGAGCCACAACATTGCAGGTTAGGGTACAACGATTTTTGGGGTTTAGGGGTACAGGATTTGGGGACTTGGATTTTGGGACGTGGGGCTTCGGGTTTCGTAGGGTTGGCGCCTAGGATTTAAGGGTTTGCCCCTGTTTGGGCTTAGGTGCTCAAGCTACCCCTAGGAGGTTCTAGGGTCCTAAACCCTTCATGGGGTTTAGAGTTTAGGGTTTAGGGGTTTGGGTTTAACTTACCCCTAAACCCCTAGCAGCTAAGGTCCCAAGGTCCAAGCAAAGTCCCAAACAGGAGTCGAAACTCCCTAAAAACTCTCTGTGTAGAACCCTTTACTGGAGCCCTTCAGACAAGGGACTCCGATAACAAAAAGTCTTTACAGGGGCCCCACGAAGCGTTCCATGCTGAGAGTGTTGAGCAGTTTGGGCATAGGGGCCTTCATCATAAGTAGAAACGTATTTTGGGGCTTGTTATAGTAGAACCATATTGAGGACCCTAAGGAATAAAATGAACAAGTGTTCAAGCTCCTAGAGTCCTAGAGTTCTGGCGGCTTGCCTCACGGTGTACCCTAATTAACCCCCA